TCTTATTAACTACAAACCCTTATACTAATCTACTCTTATTAACTACAAATCCTTATATTAATCTTTATTAATAACAACCTTTTATATTGATCTTTATTAAATACAACCTCTTATGTTAACCTTTATTAATCGCAACCCCTATATTAATCTTTATTATATTCCGACCCCTTATTTTAATCTTCCTTAACTATAATCCCTTATATTAACCTTTTATTAATTGCACCCTCTTATATTAATCTTTATTAATTGCAACCCCTTATTTTAATCTTTATTAAATACAACCCCTTATTTTAATCTTCTTCAACCACTACCTCTTTTACTAATCGTCTGCCCTGCCCTTTTATATAATCCCTATTTTTTCTTTCTTATATCCTTATATTATCCAATTTATTTGCTATACAACCCTGATATTAACCTTAATTAATTGTAATCCCTCATTGTCTCCTATTCTTCCCTAATTATTCCCTTTATATTACCCTATTCCTCCACTTTAAAACCCTTATGTAACCCTATTCCTCCATTCTAAAAACCCTTATGTAACCCCATTCCTCCATTCTAAAACCCTTATGTTAATTTACCATCTATTAACCACAAATCCTTATATTAAACTTTATTAACCACATCCCCTTTGTTTAATCTACTTTTACCAAACCGTATATTAACCAATACTTTATTAATTACCCTTTTTTATTAACCGACTTACTATTAATTAACAACCTCTTATATTAATCCATTTTTTTTTATTAATCCCTTTTCTTCTTCCCATTCTCTCTCGGTTAAACCCTTATAACCTCCCCCTGATTTTATCTTATACCTGTATTTTAATTCCACTCTGATTTTACTTTGACCCAAATCTTACCAACTAATATCCTCCTTTTACTATAACAAACCCTTTTATTATTTTTTATTCTTCCACCCTTGAACTCCTATACTATCCCTATTTTTGTTAATTATATCCTTATATTACCCTGTACACCGTAAACTATAATCTATAATATTAATCCACCAATTATTAATCGCAATTTTGTATATTATCCTATACTTTATTAATTACAATTCCTTATACTATCTGATTTTATTTAATTAATTTTTTATATTAAAAAAATCCCTATTTTTTTATTAAACCCTTATATTTTTATATCCTTCCTCTATTAAACCTTTTATATTATTTTATTCTTTAACGGTCAATCCCCCTATATCCTCCTGTTTTTACTATTAAACCCTAATGTTATCCTATTCCTCTGCTGTTATTATCCCTATTTGTCCACTGTTAAATCCTTTTGTATTATTCCTATTTTTCCTTTGTTAAACCCTTTATATTATTCCAATTTTTCTCTGTTAAATCTGTATATTACCCTATTCCTCTGCCCTTAAATCCTTATATTACCTGATTTCTCTGCTTTTAAACCCTTATATTACCTGATTCCTGTGCTTTTAAACCCTTATGTTACCTAATTCCTCTGCTTTTAAACCCTTATGTTACCCTATTCCTCTGCCCTTGAACCCTTATATTGCCTAATTTCTACCTGAATCCCTTTATATTACTATATTCCCTAACACTTATCCCCTGATCTTGCCTGATTCCTCTGCCTGTAAACCCTTATATAATCCCTATTTTTCCTCTATTAATCCCTTTATATAATTCTAATTTATTCTTTTGCAACAATGTTATAAAACTAATCTAGTTTAAATTATAATTTAAATTCCTGCTTAATTAATCCCTTTTTTTCTCCCTATTCTTTATATATTATCCACTTGAACCTTTTTTTTTAATTAATCCCCGCCTTTATTATAACCACCTCTAATATAATCCCTATTTAACCCTGGTTAATATACTTAATTTTTTTGCTATTAAACCCTAACTTTAACCCACACTTATAAATTATATTCCTAAATCCAATCCCGATTCTTCCTTGATTAATCCCTTATATTAATTAGTTATCTTGTTATATTAATTTAATTAATAATCTCGCCCTTATTTACCCCCTGATTTTTCTGATTAATCTATTTTATTAATTATTCCTAATCTCTAGTACTAATTTTTTTTTTTATTATTAAAACCCTGATCCCTTTACTTTTTTTTTTTTATTATAAACCTGTACCTTGTCCTAATTTTATTTTTACTAAAACCCTTATATTCTCCTCTTTTTTCTCTGTTAAACTATTATTATCTCCCTATTCTACCTTTTATTAAACCCTTATGTTACCCCATTCCTCTACTCTTAAATCCTAATATTGCCCTATTCCTCTATTTATAAACCTAATATTACCTAACTTTTTTTACTTATAAAAAATCTTTATATTACCGAACTTTTTACTTGTAAACCCTTATATTCTCCCCCTTTTATTATTAAATAATTATCTTCTCCTAATTTTTCCTTTATTAAACCCTTTATATTACCCTGTTCCTCTGCCCTTCTTAAACCCTTATGTTACCCCCTGTTCCTCTGCCCTTAAACCCTTATGTGATCCTATTCCTCTGTTAATCCCTTTATATAATTCCTATTTATTTTTATTATAACTTTATAAAACACGAATCGTATCCCTATTATTACTTGGTTAAAAAAAATCTTAAAATATTTAAATACTTTGTATAAATATTAACCCTTTTAAACTATAATACTAATTAACAATCCCCTATATTTACATGGAACCCTTTTAATTACTATTTAACCACTTATTAATTAACATATTTAATTATATATATAACTATGTAATTTACTACTTTTAACTATTACAAAACTACTTATAAACTACTTTAAAACTGCTTGTTAACTACTTATAAGCTTTTAATTCCTTGGTAACCTGCTGAACTGGTTGGAAACTAGTTTGGAACCATTTTTGGTTGCCTATTATATTATTTCTATGCTGCATGCTTCCCTCCTGGTATATATATCCCCCCCTAGTATATACTTTGCATATGCTCCCTATATTATATATATTTACTATACTACTTGTTATTTTAATACTGTATACTTCCCCTGGTGGTGGTGCTGCCCCCGGTACATGCCTCCCCCGGTACATGCCTCCCCCGGTACATGCCTCCCCCGGTACATGCCTCCCCCGGTACATGCCTCCCCCTGGTATATACCTCCCCGGTGCGTACCTCCCACTGATATATACCTCCCTTAGTACGCATTTCACCCCCGGTACACGTGTTAACTGCTATATGCCTTCCCCCAGTGCGTGTACCCCCCTCGGTACGTGCCTTCCCCTGGTATGTATCTCTTCCCAGTGTGTATCTCCCCCTGGTACATGCCTTCCCCTGGTGCGTATCTTCCCCTTTATATGTGTACCTCCCCCCAGTGCATATTTTTCCCCGGTGCGTATCTCCCCTGGTATATACCTTTTCCCCTAATACATGCCTCTTCCCGGTACATGCCTCCCCCCTAGTATATGCCTCCCCCGGTGCGTATCTCCCCGGTGTGTATTTCCCCCCTGTATGTATCCTTTCCCCTAGTACATGCCTTTCCTAGTGCGTGTTTACCTCGGTGCGTGTTTACCTCGGTACATGTTTACCCTGGTATATACCTTTTTCTAGTGCGTACCTCCCCCCTAATACATACCTCCCCGGTGTGTGTTTACCCCGGTGCGTGTTTGCCCCGGCACGTGTTTGCCCTGGCACGTGTTTGCCCTGGCACGTGTTTGCCCCTGGCACGTGTTTGCCCTGGCACGTGTTTGCCCTGGCACGTGTTTACCCCCCCGGCACGTGTTTACCGCGGTGCGTGTTTCCCCGGCACGTGTTTACCCCGGTGCGTGTTTCCCCGGTGCGTGTTTGCCCCGGCACATGTTTACCCCGGCACGTGTTTGCCCCGGCACGTGTTTACCCCGGCACGTGTTTACCCCCGGTGCGTGTTTCCCCGGCACGTGTTTACCCCCCGGTGCGTGTTTCCCCGGTGCGTGTTTGCCCCGGTGCGTGTTTGCGCCGGCACGTGTTTACCCTGGTATATGTTTGCCCCGGCACGTGTTTCCTCCGGTGCGTGTTTGCCCCAGTGCGTGTTTACCCCGGTACATACCTATTCTTGGTGTGCCCTCTCCCCGGACTATATCTCCCCTGGTATATATATTCCCTTGCTACATATACTCTATATATACTTAAAACACTGCGTGTGTACATCCCCTAGTATATATACTTTGTATTTGTTTACTTTAATATATGCGTCCCCTGGTACATGCCTCCCCCGGTGCGTGTTTACCCTGGTACGTGCCTTCCCCTGGTGCGTACCTCCCCTGGTATATGTCTCCCCGGTGCGTACCTCTCCTTGGTATATATTTCCCCCGGTACATATATTAACTGCTATATGCCTTCCCCTGGTCCATGCCTCCCTATAATATATGCCTTTCCCCCAGTCCGTACCTCCCCTCGGTACGTGCCTCCCACTATTATATATCTCTTCCCGGTGCGTACTTCCCCCGGTGCGTGCCTTCCCCTAGTGTGTATCCTTTCCCGGTACATATATCTCCCCCGGTGTGTTCTCCCCGGTGCGTTCTCCCCCCCAGTGTGTTCTCCCCCGGTGCGTGCCTCCCGCTGGTATATACTTTACCCCCGGTGCAAACTTTTACCCCGGTGTATACTTTTACCCCGGTGTGTGTGTTTACTGGTGCGTACCTTCCCCTAGTACATCCCTTCCCCTAGTACATCCCTTCCCCGGTGCGTACCTCCCCCGGTGTGTATCTCCCCCGGCATGTGGCTCCCCCTGGTGTATATCTCCCCGGTATATACCTCCTGCGGTATATACCTCCCCTGGTGTATATATTCCCCTTGCTACTTATACTCTGCATATGCTTAAAACACTGCCTGTGTATATCCCCTAGTATATATACTTTGCGTTTGTTTGTTTACTTTAATATATGCGTCCCCTGGTATATATTTACCCCTGGTGCATGTTTACCCCGGTGAGTCTTTGCCCTGGTAAGTCTTTACCCCGGTGTGTATCTCCCCTGGTACATGTCTCCCCTAGTGCGTGTTTACCCCGGTGCGTGTTTGCCCTGGTGCGTGTTTACCCCGGTAAGTCTTTGCCCCGGTGCGTACCTCCCCCCTGGTACATGCCTCCCCCGGTGCGTGCTTCCCCCGGTGCGTACCTCCCCCGGTGCGTATCTCCCCGGTGCGTATCTCCCCGGTGCGTACCCTCCCCCGGTGCGTACCCTCCCCCGGTGCGTACCTCCCCCCGGTGCGTACCTCCCCCGGTGCGTACCTTCCCCTCGGTGTGTACCTCCCCTCGGTGCGTACCTTCCCCGGTGCGTGTGCCTCCCCCGGCATATACCTCCCCCGGTACATGGCTCCCCTGGTGCGTAACTCCCCCGGTGCGTACCTCCCCCGGTGTATATCTCCCCCGGGTACATACCTCCCCTCGGTGCGTGTGTCCACTGGTATATGCCTCTCCCTGGTACATGCCTTCCCCCAGTGCGTACCTCCCCCTGGTATATGCCTCCACTGGTGCGTACCTCCCACCGGTGCGTGTTTGCCCCGGTGCGTGTTTACCCCCCGGTGTGTACCTCCCCTGGTACATGCCTTCCCCGGTACGTATCTCCCCTGGTACATACTTCCCCGGTGCGTGTTTACCCCGGTAAGTCTTTGCCCCGGTGCGTACCTCCCCCCTGGTACATGCCTCCCCCGGTGTGTGTTTACCCCGGTGCATGCTTCCCCGGTGCGTGTTTACCCTGGTATGTGTTTACCCCGGTGCATGTTTACACCAGTATATACCTACCCTTGGTGTGTCCCTCTCCCCGGACTGTATCTCCCCCGGTGCATACCTCCCCCTAGTGTGTACCTCCCCCGGTGCGTACCTCCCCCGGTGCGTATCTCCTACTAGTATATATTTATTCTTAATACACATTTCACCCCCGGTACACGTGTTAACTGCTATATGCCTTCCCCAGTGCGTACCTCCCCTTAGTTCATACCTTTCCCTGGTGCGTATATCTCCCCTGGTGTGTATTTTTTCCCGGTATATATATCCCCCGGTGTGTCCTTCCCCCAGTGTATTCTCCCCCAGTGTGTACCTCCCCCCGGTGCATACTTTACCCTGGTGCAAACTTCACCCTGGTGTATACTTTTACCCCGGTGCGTGTATTAACTAGTACATACCTTTTCCTAGTATATGCCTTCCTCCGGTGCATACCTCCCCCTCGTGTGTATACCCCCCCCCCAGCGTGTTCACCCCGGTGCGTGTTTACCCCCGGTGCGTACCTCCCCCGGGTATATGCCTTGCCCTGGTATTCGCCTCCCCCGGTGCGTACCTCCCTCTGGTGTGTATCTCTCCCCGGCACGTGGCTTCCCCTGGTGTATGCCTCCCCTGGTGTATACCTCCTCCGGTGTGTGCCTCCCCCGGGTGTGTATTACCCCCTGGTGTGTGTATTTCCTTGCTATATATACTCTGCATATGCTAAAAACACTGCCTGTGTATATTCCCTGGTATATATAGTTTGCGTTTATTTACTTTAATATATGCGTCACCCGGTACATGTTTACCCCGGTGCGTACCTCCCCTGGTATATACCTCCCCCCTAGTGCGTACCTCCCCGGTGTGTATCTTCCCCGGCACGTGGCTCCCTCTGGTGTATGTCTCCCCGGTGTATACCTCCTCCGGTATGTGCCTCTCCCGGGTGTGTATTACCCCCAGTGTGTGTATTTCCTTGCTATATATACTCTGTATATGCTTAAAACACTGCCTGTGTATATTCCCCTGGTATATATAGTTTGCGTTTATTCACTTTAATATATGCGTCACCCGGTACATGTTTACCCCGGTTTATGTTTACCCCGGTGCGTGTTTGCCCCGGTGCGTGTTTGCCCTGGTGTGTACCTCCCCTGGTACATGCCTCCCCCGGTGCGTGTTTACCCCGGTGCGTGTTTGCCCCGGTGCGTACCTCCCCCCCGCGTACCTCCCCGGTGCGTACCTCCCCGGTGCGTACCTCCCCGGTGCGTATCTCCCCCCGTGTGTACCTCGCGCTGGTGTATACTTTACCCCGGTGCGTTTTACCCCGGTGCGTACCTCCCCCTGGTACATGCCTCCCCGGTGCGTGTTTGCCCCGGTGCGTCTTTACCCCGGTGCGTACCTCCCCTGGTATATGCCTCCCCCCCGGGTGCGTGTTTGCCCCGGTGCGTCTTTACCCCGGTGCGTGTTTACCCTGGTATGTGTTTACCCCGGTGTATACCTCCCCCAGTATATATCCTTTCCTGGTACATATATCCCCCCGGTGCGTCCTCCCCCGGTGCGTATCTCCCCCAGTGTATATTCTTTTCCCGATACATGTGTCCCCCGGTGCGTCCTCCCCTGGTATATAGCTCCTGCTAGTGTGTATCTCCCCCAGTTCGTGTGTTTACTAGTATATACCTACCCCTGGTACATGCCTCCCCTTGGTGCATGCCTGCCCCGGTGCGTATCTCCCCGGGTGTGTGTATCTGCCCCTGGTATGTATTTCCCCGGCACATGGCTCCCCCTGGTATATGCCTCCCCTGGTACGTGGCTCCCCTGGTGCGCACCTCCCCGGGTGTGTGTGTCTCCCCCGGTGTGTATATCTCCCCCTGTGTATATACCTCCCCTTAGTATATATCTCCCCCCGGTGCATACCTGCCCCTGGTGCGTACCTCCCCCCCTGGTATATATTTTTTCCCGGTATATATATCCCCCCGGTGCGTGTTTACCCTGGTGCGTGTTTATCCCGGTACGTGTTTACCTTGGTACATGCTTTCCCCCGGTGCGTACCTCCCCCTGGTATATACCTCCCCCCGGTGCGTACCTCCCACCGGTGTATACCTCTCCTTGGTACGTATTTCACCCCCGGTACACGTGTTAACTGCTATATGCCTTCCCCTAGTGCGTACCTCCCCGGGTATATGCCTTGCCCTGGTATACACCTCCCCCCCGGTGCGTACCTCCCCCTGGTACATGCCTTCCCCCGGTGTGTACCTTCCCTCGGTGCATATCCCCCTGTTGTGTGTGTGTACCCTAGTATATATATATATTCCTGGCATATATAATTTTAGTATATATATCCCCTGTCCCCTAGTACATGCGTCCCCTGGTATATATATCCCTGGTGTATATACTTAGCATGTGCTCCCTTTACTTTATACACCTCCCCTGTGTATATATTTTTTACGTGTGCTTTTTCTAATACATGCCTTTTTATACTTTTATACCTTCCTCTAGTATATATTTTTTACTACTATATACCTCCCCCAGCGCATACCTTCCCCCAGTGCGTACCTCTCCCCGGTGCGTATTTTTCCTGGTATATATCTCCCCGCGGTGCATACCTGCCCCTGGTATGTACCTCCCCCCCCGGTGCGTGTGCCTCCCCCCCCCGGTGTGTGTGCCTCCCCCTGGTATATATCTCCCCCCGGTACATGGCTCCCCTGGTACGTAACTCCCCCGGTGCGTACCTCCCCTGGTACGTGGCTCCCGCTGGTGCGTATCTCTGCGGTGACTATGTTCCCCTAATACATATTTACACTAGTACATGCCTCCCCCGGTGTACATACCTCCCCCCCCGGTGTGTATACCTCCCCCGGTGTGCATACCTCCCCCGGTGTGTATACATCCCCTTGGTGTGTTACCTCCCCACAGTGTGTGTGTGTACCTCCTCCTAGTATACATATCTCCCCCGCTGCATATCTACCCCCAGTGTATATCTCCCCGGGTATATACCCCCTCGGTGCGTGTGTTTACTAGTATATACCTCTCCCCTGGTATATGCCTTCCACCGGTGCGTACCTCCCCCTGGTATATGCCTCCCCCGGTGCGTACCTTCCACCAGTGCGTGTTTACCCTGGTGCGTCTTTGCCCTGGTGTGTGTTTACCCCGGTGCGCCTTTGCCCTAGTACATGCCTTCCCCGGTGTGTGTACCTCCCCGGTGCGTACCTCCCCCCTGATACATACCTCCCCCCCCGGTGCGTACCTCCCCGGTGCGTACCTCCCCCCCTGGTCCGTGCCTTCTCCCGGTGCATGCCTTCTCCCGGTGCATACCTCCACCTAGTATATATACTTTGCGTTTGTTTACTTTAATATATGCGTCCCCTGATATATATTTGCCCCGGTGCGTGTTTACCCCGGTGCGTGTTTGCCCTGGTGTGTGTTTACCCCCCGGTGTGTTTTTGCCCCGGTACGTACCTCCCCCCCTGGTACATGCCTCCCCCCCCATTGCATGTTTGCCCCGGTGCGTGTTTGTTCTGGTGCGTCTTTGCCCCGGTGCGTGTTTCCCCGGTGCGTGTTTACCCCGGTACATGCCTTCCCCGGTGCGTACCTCCCCCGGTGCGTACCTCCCCCGGTGCGTGCCTCCTCCTCCTGGTGCATGCCTTCTCCCGGTGCGTACCTCCCCCTAGTATATATCCTTTTACGGTACATGCCTCGCGGTGCGTACCTCCCCTAGTATGTATCCTTTCCTGGTATATTTATCCCCCCAGTGCGTCCTTCCCCCGGTGCGTACCTTCTCTTGGTTCCCTGGTATATACCTCTGCCTAGTACGTGTGTCCACCGCTGTTTATATCCCTATATTATATATGCTCTGCATGTGCTCCTATATTATATACACTTATTAGTCTAAATAACAATTATAAATATATTACTGTTCTTGCTACACTGTATACTAACTAGTTATACCACAAACCCCGTGGATCCCTCCAATTCTTTGCAGATCTGCCATAGCCAGCAAAATAATGCGAATAACTGGCTGTGCTGGCCTTTGGCTCCCTCCGTGGCCTGCCCCAAAAAACTGCAACACTTGCATGGTGTTGTTTGCGTCCACCCCGTGCTGCTGCAACCGGCGCTGCCATAGTGGCTGGATCTGCTCCTCCCACGGGCCGTACAGTATTACAGCTGTCATGGGGACCAATATATCCTTATATACACTCTCGGTTTGTGTTGGATGGCCATCTAGTACCTCCCATCGTCGACAGATCGTCTGCGGCATATAACAGCGGTAACAAGCGGTATATCTAGCGAATGGAATCTTATACTGGCGAACTAGATTAACCCATGCCTTGGCTTTGTCGCTTTTGGGCCCACGACAAAAGTATAACTCGTGTTCGTTCCGTTCCCGTCCTGCAATGGTGCAAATATAGCACTTTTTCTGCCATGGTGCTATCTCGTTTTCAATAGTTTCCTCGTCCAACCACTGCCGTGCATCTTGCACCTGGTGTTGAATACGGGGCGCTGCATGGCGCTGGTCTTGCACCCGTTGGCGCTGGCGTTCGGCGATACTAACCGTGGGCGTGGGATTGGGGGCGATATTTTGCGTGCTCTGTGGTATAACATGCGATATTACTTGAGTTTCAAATGATTCTGTACTGTCATGGGATTGGGACCGGCGTGTGGGATTTGGCGCGATATTCTGCGTGCTCTGTGGTATAATATGCGATAATGGAAATAATTCGCCACTACCATGGGAATGGGGACTGCCCGTAGCGCTAATCTCGCGTGGTGGGGCTTGTCGTGCTGGCGAGATCGTCCATGCGGGTGTCCGGGGAATATCTGTCCGGGGACATGCAAACCGACTCCTGCGCGAGCCAATCGGCGTCACAGCCGTCACAGAGTGCCTCGGTGGAATCAATATCCTGACAGTATCGGCGCGTATAGCCATTCACTGTTTCGTCCATGTACGCGTCCAATACAAACCGTCGACATCCCACCCCGGGCGCCACCCCGAGGTACTCGTCCACCAACTCGCGATCCGCCACGGCCTCTGGCGTCTCCGGCGTGGGCTCGTCCCAGCCCTCGGGCTGGATAATAATCGCCTCGCTGCGCTGGCTATCCCGTCCGGCTCGCCCACTTTCCTGCCCGTACTCCAACAACGACCGCGGTGTTCCAATATGGATAATACTGCGAATATCGGGGATATCCACACCCATGCCCAATGCACTGGTGGCGGTAATTACTCGCGCCTCGCCCCGGGTAAATCGCTGTAATATAGATGGCTTGTCAACCACCTGCTTGCTGTAGTACGCCTCGCACGCTAACTCGCGTGCAATCTCCACTACCTGACGGACCACATGGCCGTATACCACCACCTTGCCATCCTTGGCGCGCTGGATTCGCTCGCGGATAAACGCGAGCACCGGCTCGCTGGTAAACCACTGCATGGAACGCCGACCCAGCTCGGGCCGCCACACGCGATACGCCACGTTGGGACGGCTTGTCCGGTCCCGAAATATATGGACTTGCTCGCGGGAATACTCCATGCGCCGGAATAACTTCGCCTCCAACCGCGGCGGCAACGTGGCAGTTAATAACACCATCTGGGTTCGCGCGTGGTTCAACCGCCCCAGCTGTCGCAACTCGGGTCGGAAATCCGTTTGGTCGTTTAATATCACATGGCATTCGTCGATCACGATCCGGTCTAACCGGCGTGTTTGCTGCAACCGGTTAATAAACGTTTGAAAATCCTCCTGCACCGCGGATTCCGGTGTGACCAGTACAATTGTCGCTTCGTCCGGTGGCCGTCGACTATCCCATTCAATGCAGGATATACCCAACTCGCGACAGCGCCGCACCATATCGTTCCGCAATGATATTAATGGCACGACCACAATGGTAGTACCACTGGGCTCGGCGAATGCAGGTAACATAAACAACATGCTTTTTCCCCTCCGGTGCGCATAATGGCGACCACCGGGCTCTTGCCGTCCTGAATGGCGCGCAACGCCGGTGCTTGGACGCCCCGGAACTGGATATCCTCTTGCCCGGTCATGTGCTGCAACGTGGTGCGCATATCTGCGATATTTAACCGGTGACGTCGGACCACTCGGCCCTCCTCGGCTTCGTCCTCCCATGGTGATCTCTTGCGCTTCCCCAACGGGCTGGGCTCCGCGGCGGATGCAAACCCCAAAACCGGTGCCAATCGGTGCTGGAGAGTCGAAACATTGCACGGCGATGTGCCGTGGTCCCGGGCTGCTCCATAATACCACGGCCGTACACTCCACCCGCCAATTGGGATGAATGCGCCGCCTGCAAGTCTGCAATATGGCCTAACCACTGCTCCTCGTCCATACCCTCCTCGGTGTCGGCGTTTAACACAGCCTGCGCCAAGTCTCTCTCCTCCTGCATGTTGCTGGCAAACGCGGCAGTGGGTCGCAAAAATCGTCGGCTAATCCCAATGGCGATATCCCGATACCACTGGATATTAATGGCTTCTTTTAACCGGGTCTTGGTTTCGCGCTTTAACACCTCCCGGAACCGCTCGGACGTCCATTTGCGCCGGGTTCCGGGGTCGGGGCCCCATAAAAACGCATCTTCGCGGATCTGCGCTGCGTGCGTGCCCTGCGCTGTGGTGCCCTGCGCTGCGTGCGTGCCCTGCGCTGTGGTGCCCTGCGCTGCGTGCGTGCCCTGCGCTGCGTGCGTGCCCTGCGATGTGTACGTGCCCTGCGTTGCGTGCGTGCCCTGCGTTGCGTCCATGCCCTGTGCCGTGGTGCCCTGCGCTGCGTACGTGCCCCTGCGATGTGTACGTGCCCTGCGTTGCGTGAGCGCCCTGCACCGTGGTGCCCTGCGCTGTGGTGGTGCTTTGCGCTGTGGTGGTGCTTTGCGCTGTGGTGGTGCCCTGTACTGCGCGTATTCCCTGCGTGCCCTGCGTTGCGTTCGTGCCCTGCGCTGTGGTGGTGCCCTGCACTGCGTGCGTTCCCTGCGTTGCGTGCATGCCCTGCGCCGTGGTGCCCTGCGTCTGCTTCGCATGCCATGCGCTTAGTTGCTGCACAAATGGTAATACCAACCATAAATACCACACAATTAATTCACCCACCTCCCGTGGCACAAATCGATGAATGATCTTTATATCGTTACTCGCGTAAAACCCCTTGTGGTACGCCGTCACCAACGCCACCATCCCGTCCTCGATATAGATATTGCGCTGTCGATTCGCCACGGTATTCACATGTTGAATACTTAATAACTCGGGTGCGCGAGCCGGCTGGCCGGATACCACGTGAACAAGCACTGCTAATTTCTCCTTAAATCGCGCCACGCGCTCCAGATACTGCGCCACCTTCGGCATGTGCAGCCGTCGGGCTTGGCGCCGGACGGTAAACTCCTTCTGCACGGCCGGCTCGGCCCGCAACCGGCCGATCATCCACTTGGGCCCCACCGGCCATTGCGTGCGCTGATCCCGCAAAAATTCCATCCCACCGTGGCCTGCGTGGGGTCGTCGTAGATCGCGTGCCATGGAATACTGGGAATGTCTTCCCGCGCTGTCACGCACAGTATGTCGCACAATATCTGGCGTGTGGCCCCGACCAATCCATGGACAAATCCGCGGAAATCGCCCATGGTAAATGTGATATGCTTGTATCCGAGCTCGTCGCCATGGTTCCATGTAATGTGCCCGGGCGCCGTGGTATTATAATGGATCTTTAACCCGTACGTGCGCCAATCCTGCAACGTTTGTATTGGACTGTGGGTGCCACGCACCATAAACCGCTGCACCATCCACTCCACGTGCTCCTGGAATGTTTTCCCGCGATTCTGCCGGCGGATATTCACTATCGGTTGGGGATTACTGCTGGTAATGGGCGATGTGGGGGCGATGATGGGATGCCTTGCTCTGGTTGACTGTAATATCCCTCGTCCGAATAAATATCCTCCAGCTCGTCGTCGGCGCTGGCGAGCACCCACTGCGCGCAGTTACTCTTCTTCTGCCACACCGCGATAATCTCCTCGGGATTCGGATCCAACCAAAGCGCTTTCTGGACAATTATAAAGCGCGCCACCTTGATCACACGCGATAAGATCGGGGGATAACTCTCTGGGCCCTGCCATCGGTCCCGGCCCCATCCTAACACGGCCATGGCACATACAAGCACGCTCTCGTACTCATGGCTACGCTGCTTTTGGTTTAGCAACTCGATGCAGAACTCCAAACACGCGCCTTCGATCGGGGTCATGCGCCACGCTGCGTCGTCGTCCTGCGGCTCGCCGGGAATATCCCGGTGGGTAGTGGCGAGGTGCCATAACTGCCGCCATTTCTTGCGCTGCCGTGCTGTCATCCCGTACGGGGACTCGTCCATCCGTGTGGCGCCTGGGTGCGCGCGATAAACGCTAGGATTTGCTGCCATGGCTGCATATGCTTAACCACGCTCTCGGGATCCATATACGCCTGCAACGGTCGATATGGTGTTTGACCCTTTTCGGATCGGATCGCTTCAACACAGATTGCCTGGCCGCTGTGCTGGACCACGCGCTGGCTCTTGCGCACGACCTGCTCCATGGCGGCCCAAATGTGGCGCACGCCCTGCTCCACGGGATCTGTGGGCTCTTCCTCGGGCGGCGCCACGCTGTCGGTTAGATCCTTTGGTGCGATTCCTTCTAAATACTCGGACCACCGGGTCATGCGCAGCCATGGGTTGGCGTCGGTAATATCAGATGCCTGAATTGTACTCGGCGTGGACTGCGCCTCCTTCCACGCGTTCTCTAGCTCCTGGACAGCAACCTGGATATCATCTGTGGGGATCGCCGGTTCGTCGTTCTCATTTGGATTGCGGATGTGAATATAATGCGATCCTTTGCGCGATGGGAATATCTGCTGGCATGTCACAGATATAAAGGATCGCTGCAGCTCAGCATCTGCACGCACGCGCTCGTCACGGCTTACTCGACCACCATGCGGATACTGGGACCATCCATGGGTGGTGCGCCAGTGCTTTCGCATATTCTCAATTGTTCTTCCTATGTACTGACAGCCCGGGAATCCCGCCGACATAATAAACCATCAGGTTGTACGGGTATTCCAACCAACGCCTGGTCCAACTGATGGGGAAAATTAACCTGATCGGGGAATGCGCAATATCCTCCCATTGCATTACCTTCTCGCTAATCTGGACAGCATCGGCGTGTGGGATTTGATGGGCGCGATTTTTAAATGGCGGAGAACCTCGGGGCCACACACCATGCTGGCATTGCTTGCAAATAATAACAGGTAACATATCAAGCTTCTCGAATATCTGGTGCTCCATGGCCGAAATTAAATTGTTTATTTAAACGCGATCGTATAACTGCAGTTGGGTGTGTTTACCTCTTTCCTAAATAATCCTGCAACCTGGCAAGTTTGGTGGTTATGTAATAACGGCTCGGTCGGCTGTGATACCCCAACAAAATAATTAAGTCGAATAATAAACATCGACCACCACCACAGTATTATATAACGGAATTTCAAGCTCCCATTTTGCCAAGTTACTTTTATAGGTGTCCTGCATCTACTATAAAAATTTAAGCTATGGTGGATTATGGGTTGTCGAGCTACCCTACGTTTATAATTTGGAACGACTATATGTTAACGAGAATTCTGCTAGCCAATCAGCGCACGATCCTCGCCCCACTGTTATCCGACCCTAACCAGACTCTACCAACATCCGCCCCAGGCCTGTGGAATAGGGCCCGAGTAGGCTGAGGGGCTCTAGCCCCCTTACACTACTCCCCCTTCCCTATATAAGGCCTCCGAAGGAGGCCTAATAGCGAGGCGGGTTGCTGGCGCGGGCTGTAAGCTTTTCGGAGGTTTCTCGGAAGTATCAGACAAAGTAGAGCGGGCATCGCAGTCTGCGATCCAATGATCATTAGAACCGCAGTAAAGGCATAAATTATTCGCAAGTCGGAAACGGCGGCGGTCAGAGGTGGTGGATTCATGAGAAGAATCAGATAAAACAGGCGAAGCAGCTCGGGCTACTCTCACAGAGCCAACATGAACAGGATTGGGGTTTATTTTAACTGAGTTGACTCGGACCGGATCAGTATCCATTGGGTCTGTATTCGGGGTCAAAGCTGGTTTCGGGGCTGATTTTGGACTAGGACGGGTACGCCGATCGGTACTCTGGACAAGTTCAATATATTCATTATAGGGAAGATCAAAGAGAGAATTATTCGAGTCTTCTAGTATTCGACGGAGATTAGGCCGTAGCCCCCGGTGTAGCGTGGTAACACGTGATATATCTGGCCATGAGTTTACATTGGCTTCATATGAAAGTCGTTCAAAACGAGCAAGGTAGGCGATAAGCGATTCGTCATCCCTCTGTTGTATAGAAGTAAAGCGCTGAATAGCCTCCTGCTGTTCCCGTGGGTTATGGCATAGACGCTGAAAAAAGAGAAAATAACTTCAGGATCCCATAGCTGGTTTTCTTCGGCAGATTGGCGGAGGTGCAGGACAGAAGCTTGCTGAGACTGTTCTAGTCGATCCCATACATAGTCAAAAGCATCAGCTCCTACGAGCTGGTCTGATCGAAGTTTTGCTTTAATTGACGGGAGCCATGTGCGAAGCGTGTATGGTTTACCGTTAAAGCGAGGCGGATCTGGCAGGCGGGATCTGGGTGTCTGGACGGAAAGAAGCTGCGTACGAAGCTGGTGGACATCTGTTCGGGAAGCATCAAGGTCCGCACGTAGTTGCTGTATTTCATTACGCTGGTTTTGAATATCAAGGCGCTGGTTTTGGAGCTCTTGCTGGAGCTGCTGCACAAGCAGGAGGAGTGGATTCGGGTCGGACATCGTAAAGATATTCCCATAGACTGGCGGACAGGCAGGCAAGCGGGCGGGCGAGCAGGCAGGCAGGCGAGCGGGCGGACAAGCGGGCAGGCGAGCGGGCAGACAGGCAGACAAGGACGATTCCTAATGTCAAGGGCTAAACCTCTATAACCTAATAACTAGGGTGGATACAAAAGGAATCGTCGAAGAGGAAAGAGAAGAGGAAACAGCGATGAGACGATTGCGAAGTAAGGGGGGAAGTCACATGATAGAGTGTACTAATCAATATACTAATCATGTGGCAGGCGAGGAGAAAGGAAACACGAGGGCTGAGGGCCCGAGTAGGCTGAGGGGCTCTAGCCCCTTACAGATGAGGTCCGAATTTCTTAATTAAAAGCCAAAATAAAATAAGGATATCAGGGGCCATGCAGCTGTCCTCGTACTCGTTTACTAAAGAACCTTTGCAAACCTTGGTAGGCAAATAACATCGAAAGCAACAGGTATCTGCCTGAGGCTCCAATTGCTGCCTGAATTGCCAAATTAGTATAGTCCAGGTATATATCTCGGTGCATTCATTGCGTCCATGCCTAAAAAGCCTGGATTAAAGTCTATCTGGCTCTCCTGAATCTGGCCTAAGTAATTTGTTAGAATTTGGGCTGAAACCTAATCAATAACAAATAAATAGCTTACCATGATAAACTATAAAGCACAGTAAGCAATACTTTTGAGTAAAGAACTTAACCCCTTTTGCAAAAACTCAATATCCTGGGTGGTATCCTGGTAGTATTTCTCGACGGCCTGGTTAATTTAACGATGTTAAGCAGCCCGGGCACTGCAGAGGTCACATGGAACCCAACTAGGGTAACATGACTCTAGTGTTTAATCACTAAAGACCCGTGAGATCGGACGTCGCCTGCAGACCTTCTCATTTAAATATTCCCGGAAGAGACTGCGGTCCAGTGAATCATTTACCCGATCCGGCAAGTCAGATTACGGTCACCAGGCAGTAGGACCATCCCGGCTGGTCAGGGGACCGGCCTGCCCTGCCTGATTCTTGCATAAAATCAGTGAATGACCACGCGCCATGGAGGTGAATAACTAGGTGAATTAGGGCGAAATCAAAGCCTGCCCCAATAGCCCCAGTTGCAATTAAGATATTGGCCTCACCACTTTCATATTTAGTGATATGGCTGTTTTGGTCTCCATTGGTAAGTCTGCATGAAAAATCACTGCGTGGGGTATTTCCTCCCAAGATTATTCACTAATTTTTGGTCTGGCAGAAAATAATTACTCGGGCAGTCACCTGATGTTGCATCTCAAAGCTCTTAATAAATTCCCGCAGGTAACCAGCGGCCTCCACTGCCTGGGGCATAATTTGAACACCATAAAACATATGTTTTAGTGTGAGATCCGCCCTAACCTTTGCAATGGGGTTTAAGGACCCCAGCTCCAGCATCTGAATCAGGTCCGATTCAAGGTGTTGCGGTAGGATCGGCCGAGCTAAAGACCATTGGGACTGGTAGGGCTAGGGCTTGCTTCACCCGATGCATTACCAATCGATACCCTTTGGCGAGAGATATCAGGTGACATTCATCCCATATAATGCGGTCGAGGTAGCCTTTCTGGGCCAGTTCACGGGCAAATGCGTAGAATCGAGGGTTTAATAGGCTCTCTATCTGCACCACCACTAGCCTAGGGCTTAGGGTCTCGTCCGTCGACTCCTCCCATATAACTGGTTGGAGACCCAAGGCATCAGCCTTTTAAAAAAGGTCCATCTTGAGCGCCACCAGCGGTGAAATAATGATTGTGGTGCGGCTGGTGGCTAAACTGGCCCCAATTAGGAATAGTGTTGTCTTGCCACTGGCTGTTGGAAGGACTACAAATAAATAGGGAGTCTTTAACATCATGAGATGAAAGGCCTGCCTCTGCTCGGGGGTCCGCCAAGTAGCTTGGTTATTTTGTATAAACTCTTTAATCAGGTGATCCAGCACGCCGGAATTTAAAAATGGTCTCGCCTGAATTGGCCTTGTATCCCTAGCGAGTAGCTGAAATTGATCGAATTCACTATCAGGTATATTCACTGCAGGAAGGACGTCATGTGGTGCAGATTCCTGATATAAAGAAATATACTGATTAAATTCACCAACAGAGACTCTATCCACCGGTGGAGATGCCTCAGGCCGCCTTGGGTAGTGGAATTGGACCAGAGGTGCTGCTTGGGGTAAAAGATTACTTGAGTAACCCTAGATTCTGCCCCGGTACTACCATCTGCAATACGGGGTTCCGATGCCTCGGGTCTCTGGGGATAAAACAGCTCGTTTAGGATGACCTGATTCGGGCCCAACCCTAGATATTCATGCCAGCGCTGACTAAAGTGGATCAGGCTGGATTGGTGGTCCGGGGTGAGGTTCTGCAGAGTGAAGGTCTGACGGCCATAAATCTTTAGGCCAGTCAGCTTCGAATGGTGCATCTGTTCTGCCCCTAGAGCCTCCTCATCTGACTCATTACCTGAATAGGCAAGGGGGTCTTCACTCAGGCCGTAGCGAATAAACGCCTGAGCTAGGTGGCGCCAACCATGCAATCCCAGCCGAAACCCAAGAGCTTTATGGGTTAGATTCTTTAGGGATCGTGATAAAACCCGAGAGGAGAAAGCCTTAGAGACCCTGGAATCATAAAACAAGAGAAATTCGGCCTCAGGCAAGCTTTTAGTCATCTGAATCCACAGAAACTGCTTGAATGGCCGGACCACTAAGAGATAGGCCAAAAGAAGATAGGATAAAGCCTGAGGCAGAACCCTTATTGCCTCCTTTTCTTGGCCATATTGGTTGAAGGTTTTCGAATAGCCTGTATATAGATAGTCCCCGCACTCTACGGGAGTTCGCGCGCGGAATACGGCGGCCCGCAGACGTACGGTTGCGCACTTCCCCGACACTCCACGTACGCTGTGTGTCGCTGACGTAACACCCGTCCCCCATACAGTCCCCGTAGACTGTCGACCGGCCCCACCCCGTACAATCCCCGTCGACCGTCCAATGCCGAACGGAGCCCGTCCCGACACCACCAACACCGGCTCCCGTCCCATCGTCCGCCAACAGGAGTTCCCGAGCCGTCCCGATACCACCCCCCCCGGGTCCCATCGTCGGTCGATAATGTTTTTCGATCCGGATCGTTGATTCGGTAACATTTTCGCCCCGGTTTCCGATTATCTCTTATAACTCCGGTTACCGACCACTCAGCACTGCAACCCGATCGCGACTGCGCCCAACCATTCCGGTATGTACGCAGCGATACTGAATAAGAGGGCAATGGTAGAACTCCGAAGGAGTAGGTCAAGGAGACACTCTGAGACAGCTCAGCCTGGCAGGAGAGAAGACAACATTCCCCTTACGCAGGTGCGCTCCGTGGTTTGTAAGAAGGTTGTTAATTGTCTATTCCCTCTTCGAACGGAATAAGGACTTAAGATAACTGTTATCCATACAAATGCCACATGCCAGTCCCTCTAGTTCCTCTACTATAATACAAACAGGGATTGTTTGGGCAACATATAACGCCCGATCCCGGGATGCTCCCCGACTAAGGTGCCGGCGCAGAACAGGCCCATGCCATGGAGAGTAAGTCAAAAGAGCGCTCTTGGAGTGGCCCGTCTCAGCCCTGCACGGATAAGTTACTTTTTCAGCAATCTAGCGCTGGAGTATTGCGCTGATTTGCTGGACAGATGTTCTGCACTTACTGCATTGTCTTTTATTTCAGTGCTACGACATCTCCTATCCAGAACACAACACAACACAGTGAAGGATTGGATGGGGACGAAGATATATAACACCTATTACCATGCAGTTAGACGGCTCCATTTAGTCCCTCGCGTTCAATGCAAGCTATTCACTACGGAGAAACTTGGTTACCATATTAACTCGTCAGTGCTTTATCTCCTCTTAAGTATATATACTCGATAGGCCTTGCTTTTACTTCAAGTTATCGTTTGTGTCGATTTGTCTATCTTTGCGTTTTGGACCCGTGTGGTTATTGCCTGCTTGTAGTCCGCCTGAGTCCTGTGGAGACAATGCTCTGGAATCATCAATCAGATCCTCGGTAGCTCTCTGTTGTAAGTCAATATCGAGATATACTACAGAATCTAAAGGATCTGTTACACACGATCCTTAGGCTAGCTGATGTCGTAGCGAAAGACCCTTGACTGGCTTGTTAGTATACTTTCGGTTCTTCAATCCAATATATATATATATAACGAACCAACATGAGAGCCTTCAGCCGGCTTGGCGTCGGGCATCCAGTCATCGAACCCCTACATATATATATATAACAAACCAGCCGACCAATGCGACCGTATGGTACACAGAGGTTCAACTTTGCCTCCAATCCACAATCTCAAGACTGGCGAAAATCCACTGCGCCGAGTAAGACATTCCCTACTCCTGTACAGTTCCGAACCGTATCTTCTTCTCAAACCCCTTTCCAGCAGCAACTCGGAAAATGTGATCTGTCCATTATTTTCCCCACAGACGAAATCTTAAGACCAACCCCCTAAAATTCTGCCCCTGAGATTCGATCCCCAAACAAAAAAAAAAAAAAAAAAAACACCTGCCTGTTCCTTACAGTCTACATTTAATGTAAGGAGAATATAACACTGTCTTTATTTTTTTTTTTACTCACTGCTGTTTGGATATTATGGCAACTCGCAGGACTTCCGTGGCCTTTCCCGACGGGTCTCAACCACCGCCTTTGTTGACCTACCTGAAGGAATATAATTGTATAGTGTGTATTGGGTGCAAAATTGCTATAACCAGACAGCTAAAAAGCGTTATCTTTCCGATGTCCATTAGCTACAGACTATTGCGGATCGAGCGCGACACCTGCGTTAGATCCCTCGCGATGTTACCCCCGATCCAGCCATAATAAATTCTCGCCTCTTCCAAACAGCTCCTCCCGGATTCCAGAGCTTGAGCTTCACGATCTGTGGGAATGCAGTCACTGCGGGCATCTTACCCGGTCTCAGCAAATAAGTAAAAGATACCAGGTTGCTGCACATCGTGCTAACGGCCTTCCGTGGGCGCCTCGCCGCGTGCAAGGCCAATCCTGGTTCCAATCCAGCCAATACCTGCGCTTCTGGACCACCGCGCCCGTGGACCATGGTCGACCAGCTGTAAGGGGCTAGAGCCCCTCAGCCTACTCGGGCCCTCAGCCCTCGTGTTTCCTTTCTCCTCGCCTGCCACATGATTAGTATATTGATTAGTACACTCTATCATGTGACTTCTTCCCCTTACTTCGCAATCGTCTCATCGCTGTTTCCTCTTCTCTTTCCTCTTCGACGATTCCTTTTGTATCCACCCTAGTTATTAGGTTATAGAGGTTTAGCCCTTGACATTAGGAATCGTCCTTGTCTGCCTGTCTGCCCGCTCGCCTGCCCGCTTGTCCGCCCGCTCGCCTGCCTGCCTGCTCGCCCGCCCGCTTGCCTGCCTGTCCGCCAGTCTATGGGAATATCTTTACGATGTCCGACCCGAATCCACTCCTCCTGCTTGTGCAGCAGCTCCAGCAAGAGCTCCAAAACCAGCGCCTTGATATTCAAAACCAGCGTAATGAAATACAGCAACTACGTGCGGACCTTGATGCTTCCCGAACAGATGTCCACCAGCTTCGTACGCAGCTTCTTTCCGTCCAGACACCCAGATCCCGCCTGCCAGATCCGCCTCGCTTTAACGGTAAACCATACACGCTTCGCACATGGCTCCCGTCAATTAAAGCAAAACTTCGATCAGACCAGCTCGTAGGAGCTGATGCTTTTGACTATGTATGGGATCGACTAGAACAGTCTCAGCAAGCTTCTGTCCTGCACCTCCGCCAATCTGCCGAAGAAAACCAGCTATGGGATCCTGAAGTTATTTTCTCTTTTTTTTTCAGCGTCTATGCCATAACCCACGGGAACAGCAGGAGGCTATTCAGCGCTTTACTTCTATACAACAGAGGGATGACGAATCGCTTATCGCCTACCTTGCTCGTTTTGAACGACTTTCATATGAAGCCAATGTAAACTCATGGCCAGATATATCACGTGTTACCACGCTACACCGGGGGCTACGGCCTAATCTCCGTCGAATACTAGAAGACTCGAATAATTCTCTCTTTGATCTTCCCTATAATGAATATATTGAACTTGTCCAGTAGTACCGATCGGCGTACCCGTCCTAGTCCAAAATCAGCCCCGAAACCAGCTTTGACCCCGAATACAGACCCAATGGATACTGATCCGGTCCGAGTCAACTCAGTTAAAATAAACCCCAATCCTGTTCATGTTGGCTCTGTGAGAGTAGCCCGAGCTGCTTCGCCTGTTTTATCTGATTCTTCTCATGAATCCACCACCTCTGACCGCCGCCGTTTCCGACTTGCGAATAATTTATGCCTTTACTGCGGTTCTAATGATCATTGGATCGCAGACTGCGATGCCCGCTCTACTTTGTCTGATACTTCCGAGAAACCTCCGAAAAAGCTTACAGCCCGCGCCAGCAACCCGCCTCGCTATTAGGCCTCCTTCGGAGGCCTTATATAGGGAAGGGGGGAGTAGTGTAAGGGGCTAGAGCCCCTCAGCCTACTCGGGCCCTCAGCCCTCGTGTTTCCTTTCTCCTCGCCTGCCACATGATTAGTATATTGATTAGTACACTCTATCATGTGACTTCCCCCCCCTTACTTCGCAATCGTCTCATCGCTGTTTCCTCTTCTCTTTCCTCTTCGACGATTCCTTTTGTATCCACCCTAGTTATTAGGTTATAGAGGTTTAGCCCTTGACATCATCTGCTTACAAATAAGCCAATTAGAATAGAGGAGGAGTTGATGCCTCAGGATTTTAGGCCATTTATGTTTTTAAAGCAGCGGTGGGAGATAAATACCGAGCTTACCAGTGCAGCATTTCTTTTCTTTTGCTTTTTAAAGGGCGTGGATAAGATCAGCAACGGCAGGATTCAAAGAATGTAATATTTTGAATATTTTTAGCTAGTTTGCTTTGCTTAATCTAGCCCAAATTTTTTATAGAAATTGCCAGCAAAATTATTACTTTAATATAGTAATAAAGTAAATACCTAACTATTTAACTATAATATAATCCAAAATTAACTCTACTTATATAATTAGTCACTAGAACTAGCAATATATATATTATTTCCAGCACCAGAAATATATTAGAACTGCATACTATTATATTTTATAAACTAAATATAATGTTATATATATATTCTTTAGGCTTGCTTAGTAAAACAAAAATAGAAAAATAACTAGGAATTTAATAAGTTAAAAAATATATTTTAGACTTCCTAATTTATTAAACTAACAAAGTTGCAAAGCATTTACCTAACCCTGTTATCCTTAAAAAGTCTTATATTTTGTTACTCCCCTTTCTGCCTGATATTTTAGGTGTTTATAGGTGCCTTAGGTATCTACATACTAATATAGCCTAGGGTGGTTGCCTAAAATAGTATAGACTACCCGCCGGCAAAGGTCTTGGCATACCCCAACAAAAAAAATCTTTTTCCAAAGCAGGGGGTCAAGTGCTCGCTTAATCTTAGGGCTAGCCTAATAAATCTTAGATAAAAAAATAGTAAAAAATCGCCTGATTTCCCCAATATACTTTTTATGTTATAAGACCTAAAAACCATGAAGTTATAGGTGGGTGCCCAGTCAGGGTCGGCAGGCGGTTAAACCCTAAAAATTTTTTTGCGGAGCAGGCACCCGCCTGCTGACACCGACTAATATTAGGTTTCCGCTTTGCTTTACTTATTTTTTTATTATACTCACCTTAAACTATATACCCACCGAATCTCCAACCACCTAATACTAACAAACCCGATTTTAAACCCCAATACAAACCTACAGAAAAGCTTAGTCCTTATCTTCACTAGAATCCCTAATCTGCCTCTATAATTATTAGTTGCCTGCCTCCCTGCCTCCCTGACTGTTTATTACCTACCTGAGCATCTACTACCTACCTGATTGTCTACTGCCTACCTGATTGTCCGCTGCCTACCTGATTGTCCGCTGCCTACCTAATTATTAGTTGCCTAAAAAGGGTAAATATCCGCCTGATTCAGCTGCGGCTGACATCTCCACCTAGTTCAGCTAAGGCTAATATCTGCCTAGTTCAGCTACGGCTGATATCCACCTGGTTTAGCTGCAGCTGATATCTCCACTAGTTCAGCTACGGCTGATACCCACCTAATTCAGCTGCGGCTGATATCTCCACCGAGTTCAGCTACGGCTGATATCCACCTAACTCAGCTGCAGCTGATATCTCCACTAGTTCAGCTACGGCTGATACCCACCTAATTCAGCTGCGGCTAATATCTCCACTAGTTCAGCTAATATCTCCACCGAGTTCAGCTACGGCTGATATCCACCTAATTCAGCTGCAGCTGATATCTCCACTAGTTCAGCTACGGCTGATACCCACCTAATTCAGCTGCGGCTAATATCTCCACTAGTTCAGCTAATATCTCAACCGAGTTCAGCTATGGCTAATATCCACCCAATTCAGCAGCGGCTGATATCTCCCCCTAGTTTAGCTGCCGCTAATGCCCCCACTATCTTAGCTACGGCTGATACCTTTATATATTATTAGTATTATCTTTAACTAATATATATACCTCTATAGATCCCCTACAACTGTTTTTATATTCTATCCAACGACAGATATATATAAATATATCGACATTAAAAATATTTTATACCTTGACCTTTAGCACTTTATTTCTTGCCTTTATTAATTTATTACCTTGTTTTTTTTCTGCGACTATATTCACCTTACCTCTGCTCGGTTTCGAAAACAAAAAATTGGTTAAAAATTTTCTTTTTTTACGCTTTTTTATTACTTTTTATTTTATTCCTGTTTTATTTCTCTTTACCTTTTTTTACCCTTATTTATTTACCTTGCATTTTTAACTGATTTTTGCCTTATTTCTTCAAAGGCTTAAAATAATTAAATATTTGTTCTATTTTATTTCCTGTTATTATTTCGTGCCTCTGCCTTATTTCGGACTTATCCCTGCCTTATATTTATTTACTTTCTGCTTGGTTTTACTTTATATATCTCCTATTCTTACCTTATATCTGCCCACTTTCTTGGAAAAGAAAATCTTAAAAAAAATGTCTGCCCTGCCTTCTTATCTAACCTTTTACCCGGAGTATGCAATGATTACCTGCTCAATTCACGAAAATGCACTATGGCCAACTCGTCTAAACGATCATGTGATAAAACATCACCATCCTGATTACCTAACCCATGCCCAATTGCATTCACGGCCCCTACACGACCTGGGCCAAATTCACCACCAGATTCAAGCCAACCAACCGGTGGACCCAATTCCAACCCTTCACCCACCAAGCCAGGGATTCCAGTGCAAACAGTGCAACGCCCTGATGCTAAGTAAACAGAAAGCTCGTGCTCACATACGGAAAAATCACCAACTACAGGGTTATTCAACTCAGGATGCCCAGATTCAGCCCTGCCTGGTGCAAACCTTGGAGGATCAACGTTATATATTTTTAGTAACGGACCCGAGACCAACCACTCCCCCAGAGAATACAAGCGCTAGCCAAAAGCGGACCAGGCCCCTCTCTTTAACCAGCCCACCCAACCAATCCACCGCCGCAATTCGATCTCGCCCCCGGCCCCGATCTCGCTCACCGGACCTGGCTGCGCGGTTTAAAGAGGATCATGCGGCTATGATACAGGCCCTAAAGGCATCAAGGGTGATTTAGGTGACCGGAGCCACCCATGAAGCGAATGGATTCCATATTCACAGCCAGTACCCGACCTTTCTGAATGGGAAAGATGCAGCCGACTTAGAACGTCTTTTTATATTAGAGGATGTGAATATAGTGAATTGGCTCTCTGCTATACTTCACCGCCTGCTGCAGGAGAACAACTACGCACCCTCCAACCCAACCCCCACATTTGGGGGTATTGGGTATCGATTTATACATCGTTTTATAGCCCTCTTCAAGCTTAGTAATTTCTCCACTTTTCTTGATACGACAGTCCAATCCCGTTCAGTATTTTGATGAAAAAGACCGCGATTTTCGTGTGAAAAGTTTTTCGTGTTCCCGCGCTCCCGGAGCTCGGGCTCCCGGGATTAACCAACAGTGCAGTCCCTGTTTCTGCCCCCTGCTACCGCCACCTCCCGCCGCAGCCTCCATTAACGCCAACCACCACTGCATATTCGAACGGTCCCTGCAGAACACCCTATCTAGGGAAGGAAAGCTCTATAAGTTTGCACTTATAGCTACTCCCGTACCTACTAGGGGGTTTAAGGAGCTTCTAGATAAGCCCTCTACTGTTACATGTGGTTGAAATCTTGATACCCCTGTAATACTTCTGGGCCACTACTAGTTATTCCCTAGGCCTCTATAACACCATCACTGTCCTGGAGAGGGATAAGAGGTGGGGACCTGGCTGCCCTGCACACCACAGCAGTTATTCCAGCTTGGTATTCTGCAAAAACAATAAAAACCTTGCCCTTAGTTTACCACTTCTCTTTAAAAAGTGGTGAGATTTTTTCCTGCGTTTTACTCCACCAAAAACAGGAAGCTTGGACTGCCCTGTAGAATTTACTAGTAGAAAGCCTAAGCTTACTTGCAAGAAGAAACTGTGAGCTGTATCCCCAGTACTACGGCTCCTAGCAATATCTTTCTAAAGCTGTTTAGCTTAGATAGGTATAGGAAAACTAGTGCTGGACCAGAGATATAGGGAACAGTGGAGTCGAGCTAGTACGCTTACGCTGGTTTTTCGAAGCTTCCCTTTAAAAAGCTTTTGTGGTTTAGAGATTCCCTTTAAAAATCTCTACTTACTAGCTAGATCCCTAGCTAGTAAAGTTTTAGGATCCTACCTGGTTTACTTTTCTACCTGTTTATTTCTTTTTTTCCTTTTATTTTCCCTTGTCTATCAGCGAGAAGAATGGGGTCTTTTAAAGACCTAACCACCCCACCTAGGGACTCGTCACCCAACCCATCGCAGCCACCAAGCCCTAAAAAAGGGACCAAAGGCAAAAGAAAACACTCGTTCATCAGCCCAAAGGCAAGACTTGAGTTTAGGCCTGATTCCAATTCTCCTCCTGAGAGCCCTAATTCCTTTGCGTCATTAAGTCAAATGTCTGAAGATGAAGAGGTGCTCCTTAATAAAAAGGAGATGGAAAAAGCTTGCAAAAACAAATAGAAAGTGATGCCAAACAAAGTTATATCTAAAAACTTAAGTCTGCAAAGATCTTACTGCAAGAGATCCACCATAGTTTAGCAAATGCTAAGATCCTTGAAGCTCTAGATATGCATCTGGAGGGCCTCTCAGCTATCCAAGACAAATTGTAAAATCCGGAAGCTAAAGGATCCCTGCTTTCCAAAGACAATCAACTTCAAAAACTCCAGAAAGAGGTTAACGCTATTAATCAAAAACTTGATAAAATAGCCCTAGCCTTTTCTTAACCAAAGCAAAAACTAGTAAAGCCTTCATACGCAGCAGCAGTCCAAAAAGGAATAAAACCGCAA